CATTTTTTTTAAACATGGTCAAAATGAGTATGTATTGATTTACCTGGTGTCATAAGTATACAGCAGAATTACTATACAATCTGATAAATCCTAACTAAGTAATTATTGCTTAGTTATGACTCCAGGAAGGTTGGTTGGTAGATGACAAATTAGCTTCCAGCGGATGTTGTATTTGGATTGGTTCAGATTGGATGATTCTGTGCTGTTGGTTTGGTAGTTAGTAAGTAAGGTAAGTCCAATGATGAATATATACTCTTATTGGCTAGTTTTGAGACTTTAAATATTACGTCCAATCTAAGAGGTAGTATCACTTTAAATACCAATGTTACGCTGTTGTAGTTTTGCTAAAGACGACATAAACGTCTGCAACGTTATCAACAAGTAATATTTGACTTTGATATTTTACACGAAGAAAATCAAATTTTGTGATAGAAAGTGCAATAAATGACATAAATGTGCACTAAGCTTTTTATATATAAATTAATGCGAATGAACTGATGTGTAAATACAACTCGATAAAGATACATAATAGCTTCTGATATCTTTAGTTTGATCACAACATTAGTGGATTCTATTTGTGGCAAAAACCTGATAGGGAAATTTCTTTTGAAGCCTTTCATCAGATACTTAGACAGCGATGTTACCTGATTCAAGTGCAATTCAGTAGGAGGTAATTTCAGCAGCCTGTTGGACTTTTAGATAATTAACGACTATTTGTAATCATGTAAGTAGTCAGAAATATAAACAACGCCAATCTTAGGGATTAGGATGTTTTTTTTATCTGGTTCGCGGGATCCAATATTATATTCACCAAACAGTGTTCAATTTATTTTGAAAAATCTAATGAGCAAATAAATTACACCTGAAATAGCTAATCAAGTTAAATTCGCACTTAATTAAAATTCGGTAGGAATTCAAAATGTTCCAGTTATAGATTTTAGATTGAGCTTACCAATAACGATAGTTTAAAAGGATCAAACGAGAGTTTTTTTAGCTATGCTAATCAGTAATATTGTTCACAGGTTACCGTCGAAATTTGAGCCTTCAAATCCATGTGCGTCCAGAATTATCTTCGTCTGAAAGTTAAAAACACAATTCGGTTTTTTTCTTGAGATTCTGTCATATATAGAAAAGTTCTAATATAGAAATAGAAAGTGAAATTCCTAGTTTGGGGTATATCAAAATTGTATTTTTTAGTACTTCTAAAGACTAATTACATATATTCAAGACCAAAATCAAGCCCCTAAAATGGCGAATCTGTCCTAAGGTTATAGAGTCTGTCGAGAGTTGCCATTTCTACAGATTTCTGAGAAGATGTTTATGAAAAATAAACAAATTTATTCGCAGGTCATTGCCATAAATTTTGCGGCTAATCATAGGGCATATTGGGTCGTAAACGGGATCAATTTGACTCGCAAACTGCATTGCAAAATCATTTAAAGTTAACCTCACCAAATAAATAGAGGTTATAATGATATATTCACATGATTTTCGTTTTTTTTTTATTGAAGGGTACATATTTTTAACAACAAAGACAGATCTTATTTGGACAACATTTTCTTCTGAAATTTTACCTACTAGAGAAGATAAGAAGGCTCATGACTTGACCTTACTGGACAGTCATTTTCAGTTTTTATCTATTTTTTATTCTAATCTATTCTGACTTTGGTTGTGTTGATTGAAGATAGCACTTTTTGATCACAAAGCGAACCGACAGCATTATTCTTGTAAAATCGTGATCTTTGGAAAAAGATATCAAGATCCAATGCATAGTTTTACTGGATTTTGGAATTTTTTTTCTATGGTTGTGTTTGTTGAACATTCCATACTCAAACAAACAAAAACATTATTCTTGCAAAATTGTGATTTAAGGGAATACCAATAGCCAATTCAAAGTTTTTACTGCATTTTTGGGCTCAATCCCTACATAATATTGGATAAATCTATTCAGTTTTCTATTTGTGACTTTTTGAGTATAAAGAACATTTTTCTTATAAAAATTGCCGTCTCTGCAGGATAAATTTCACGAATTTATCGGTGTGTCGAATATTATTTCTTACATCTTACTGGATAAAGCTATTCAGTATTCTATTTGTGACTTCCATTGAACGCAGCACATTTTTGCCCAAAGATATTTTTGCTTGTAAACTTTTCTCTTGCTGGAAAAGATACTATGACCATTTTCACGATTACAAGGTTCATTGTAAGTAATATCGAATGACTCCTTTTGCCATCCAATATTTCCTGGATAAATTATAAATTAAAAAAAAACTAACTTCATCGGCAAAATCGATCTGTAGTTTACAACTGGAACATTTTGCTACCGAATTCCACTGAAATACTAATCAATTTAACTTGATTAGCCAAAAGTGATATTTGATTTGAAAAATTGCTAATCAAATTGAACCATGTTCCTTTTAATGGATAAGTTTTCTAGATGTGACTTCGGTTGTTTTTATTGAATACTGCATATTATTGTCCGCAAAGGATGACAACCACTTTGGACATTTCCCACAAAGTAATATACCAAGGCCATTGTTTATTTTTATCAGATCGCAGTATCGAATAATTACTACATGCAACCAAACTGGGGTATAATTACATTGTACCTCCAACTATACGGTCGACAGTCAATCATTTAACACTGAAAACAATTCGCCTTTTATGTTGCAGTGATCAAAAGGAAAAGTCAATTATCTTTTTACGAGGTTAAACACCTATTAAAAGAATGACAGTGCTAGAAATTTGACCACTAATTTCTCATTCACGACACAGATCTTCTACGGTAACCTTGACTTTTATCTTGGACTTAAAATCTATCAAGATAACCTTAGGTAAGTACCTTAGTTTTGTCAATAAGCACAATATTCTGATAACAGAAACTGCAAGAGGTAACAGCTTGTGTCAAAAAAGAGAAAACAATAAATATACTACCGTATAGTTTAAAGAAAAAAAACGACAATACCTCAATGTTACGAACACTTCGCAAAAATAACTAGTTGTAATGTAAACATATGCCAACAGCTAAATTTTGAAGAAATGTAAAAATAAATCTTCAATTTACGCTACCTTTATAGTTAATTGTCTTTGGTCATATTTCCAACTTGTTTCGGGAATGGTCGGTAAAAGTTTGTCTGACATACTCGACAGACACATTTCGAGTCGTACTATTTCAAACTGTTCTACTTTATATAGATAGTATTACATGGAAAAACCATATACCTAAAACTTTGAAGTAAATCTTTAATCATCTGTTATCCAATAAACCAATGGACTGTTATGAATTTGTTAAAGCATTTCAAAATCTTTCAGAAAACTGAGGGTAAATACCACTTTTTGTGGTTAACTTGTGACGTAAATAATTACATTGCTACATTCATCTGATGTTTGACCTACCAACTAACTAACGACTTTCAACTAAACAACTTCTTCGTGCAACTTGGTACTGTAATTTTACCTTAAAAAGCGGAAACAAAAATTACATTTTTTTTTTGATACTCTCTGATAAAGTCTAATAATTTTCATCAAAGGCTTTTTTCATATCTTTAATTGTACGCGGCAATAGCTGTCTCGACTGCACAAAATCAGAACGGTATAGAACAACTAACAGATGGTCATCCCAGAAGAATTACTAGCAAAAAAAACATCAGTTCCATAAAATACATGGTAATAGCGCAAACTAAACAAGAATTCACCATCAGAAGATTTCAAAACCTAAAAATTGTAATATAAGCTTTTTGTTATAAAGGTTGTAATAACAGATCAGTCATCAGTTCACCCTCCGGACAAAATACAAAGAACTTGACCATATTTATTGTTGACCACTATAAGCAAAGTTCAATATATCCTTAGTGTCACAGTTTGTACAGGCTTTCCATTTCACTATACCATCAATCAGGAAAGCCATATTAATGTTCTAAGTAAATAATAAAACTTGGTCATTAAATCGAAGCCCTAATTTTATAGGCCAAGTTAAATCACGATCGGAAATTATTCACTCTCAATAATCTAAAACATTTAGCTTTCAATCAAGGTTTAATTAAAGGGATGCCGTCATCTAAATTAATTTTTCCTCCATTTCCTGTACTACCATTACGAGCGTGTGTATTTTATCAGAATGCAGAACATCGTGATGTCTAATCAAATTGATATTAAAAATTATAATTTTTTTATCTGCTATTATAATTCTCCATTGTAATCCTACAAGTTTTCTACCGCAGTCCCGTTCAAATGAGGATATTTTTTAACCATGTCGTTTCTTTATAACGATAACGATAACGAACTATGGGATAGGGAAACCCAATTCGTTATCGATAAGCGCGTTCTTCACGTTGTGTGACGGCATTGTAACCGAACTGGAGTAAAATACTTGTTAGATTACAAAGGAGACGGACAATTTCGGAAAAATTGGTAGGAATAGTAAGTGTTCTCAACGAGATATTTGCCGGATCTTTCAGATTTAAAGATAAAGATATATCTAGAAAATCAAAATCGAAAATCAAAATGATTAAAAAAAATTAAAGGTTCGTATCCCTTAAATGGAAGCAAATTGATGGCACGCGGGAATTTATGATAATGGTATTTTTGCCAAGCGGGCACTAGTAAGAATTATTGGATGTCCCCAAGATGACTGCAGAAAACTTTAACTTATCTTTTATATTTGTTATAAGTGTACTTTTAAAAGAGCATTGTAATAATGTAATTTAGGGCATAGACTAAATTCTATTCAGTCAGTTAAACGAATGAATCATCCTTAAAAGTCAATGGTGTTACTAGCCGCTACGGTATTTTGAACGTGTTTTGAAGCTTTATTGCAGACTTGGATAGGACGAATGCAACTTAAGATAACCCGTACTTATTTCAACTTTTGTTTTGTTTTCTCAGAACGGAATGGTAGAAAAACTTATCATCGGATAAAATAAAGCAAGATGAATGCCATGTCATCATACACATCCCTTGAAGTTGACCAATACCACCAGACAGTTCGGCGGTCTTCAGCTATGTCGTCCAAAAAAGAGAAGTTTCTGAGACTTTTCAGACCAGTTTTAAAAGAATATAACCCTGGTGTAAAAGAAAAGAATCGCTTTTTGTGGTGTATTATGTGTCCCTTTAGTGGGAAACTTGCAATGTGGATAACAAAAATCATTGCAGCATTGACTATCTGGGGAACATTTTGGGCAATAACAGGTGACGAAGCTCTTCCGGGAGGAAATTTCTTTGGATTATTGGTGTTGATCTATGGATGTGTTATAGCAGCGGCATTCATCAATTTTACACCATTTCCACCCTTACTCGGTAAGATCCTTTGATTTTCCTTGAATCTTCACTAATGCAGATGACAAGCTCAGGCCCATATTGTACCAGCATTGCATCAAATGAGCCAAATTGAGGGGCGAATCCATCTTTTCTGGATTGAAAAAAAATATTCTGATGACGGTCCTAATGACAACTCTGCAATTGCGGATTTATCTTAAAAATCTACTTATCATATTTTTTTCCATTATAACTAGGCATGATGTTGGTGGGGTTTTGTTTAAGAAATTCACCAGTACTTGATAAAGCAACACACATAGATAAAACATGGGCAGCAACCCTCAGGTAGAATATTTAATGTTTGTATTCCTTTCGTTTACGTATTTGTATATTTCAGTCATTTGAAAAAAGTTACATGTATGCACAAAATGACCAGGAACGAAATAAAAAAATTAAACATTTGTCTTTGCTAAATATCGTATAAGTTTCTGTCGTTTTGGAGTTTGAGCATGATAGTGTTTTTAAGTTGATGAAAATGATCCACATCCATGCAACTTAAATTGCTCTTATCGCCATTGGAATAACTCTATCAAGTCTTTTTTCACGACATCTGTGAAGTCAAAGGATTTTAACAACAATGTAATAAGAAGCCTAACATCTATGTGAACTCTCTGAAAATGAATTGTTAATCTAAGAATAACATATAATGCTTTCCAAACATATGTTACAGGACAATCGCATTGGTTGTGATATTAGTAAAAGCTGGTACAGGTTTGGACCCATCAGCTTTAAAGAAAGTCAAGTGGATGGCCATTAGGTTAGCTTTTGTACCAAGCCTAGTTGAAGCTGTAGCCGCAGCTCTTGTAGCGAGATTTGCTCTGGGATTTCCATGGATTTGGTCGTTCGTCGGTGGGTAAGTGACCTTCTCAGAAAAGTATTATGACACAATTTAATGAGATCACATGTACTGGTGGTTGTGGAAGAGGTGTTTTTTTGAATTCTTTGTGAGAAGATCTATTCAAGAATTTCTGCCATTATCAATACTATGACAACCGTGACTTTAATTCGGTAGTTGCAAACTTATACACCTGACATATCACAATCCACGAAAAAAAAGTCGGTCAAATTTTCGAGATATTCCATCCATTGAATTTGTGTTTTTCTATGTGTGATTTCACAGATTTTACTTTCCCTTTGTGTTATCTATACAGATTTTTGTTTCTCTATATGTGTGATTACACAGATTTTTTGTGTGTGATTTCACAGATTTTTGTTTCTGTATGTGTGATCTCACAGATTTTTGTTTCTCTATGTATGATCTCACAGATGTTTGCTTCTTTCTGTATGATCTCACAGATTTGTGTTTCTGTATGTGTGATTTCACAGATTTGTGTTTCTTTCTGTATGATCTCACAGATTTGTGTTTCTCTATGTGTGATTTCACAGATTTGTGTTTCTCTATGTGTGATTTCACAGATTTTTGTTTCTCTATGTGTGATTTCACAGATTTTTGTTTCTCTATGTGTGATTTCACAGACTCGTGTTTCTCTTTGTGTTACTTAAATCGATTTGTACCTTTTTATGTGTTATCTGTATACATTTGTACCTCTTCATGTGTTATCTATATAGATTTGTACCTCTTCATGTGTTATCTGTATACATTTGTACCTCTTCATGTGTTATCTATATAGATTTGTGCTATCTGCTGTATCCCCAGCTGTAGTTGTACCATGTATGATTGGTGTACAAGAAAAAGGATTTGGAGTGGATGAAGGGATACCTACATTATGTATTGCAGCTTGTAGTTTAAATGATGTATTTTCAATCAGTGGTTTTGGTGTAACTTTAGGTATTGCCTTCTCCAATGGTAAGTTAAAAACTACATCCACAACTCTCAGCCACTTGCATATACACTCACTATTGCTTTATATTACTTACCCTTTAAATCATTTAAAATTTATTGATTCCATGAGAATTGGTTTCGAGGATAGGACCGTGGTCGACTCTTTACCCTCCCCTCCCTTCCTCCCGAAACCAATAGTTCACCTGAGTCGAACTTTCAAATCAGGGTTCAATTTAAGCTGTGTCGCATCGGATTTTGCGATCCAATATTCCTTATGATTAGCTAAAATTCAAATTTTTTTTTTTTAATTTTGTGTGAATTTTTTGCCAAATCGAAAAATATACGACGACTTTATAACCTTCAGGAACTAACGTCATTGGCACGATCCTTTGAAGGGTTACTACTGGAACAATTTAAAAAAAAAAAAGCAAATTAAATTTTAACTTGATTAGCCAAAACTAAAATTTGGTGTGATCAAATTTTCCAATCTAAATTAAATAAAACCCTGTTTTAAATCGTTTATCCTTCTCGGAAAAGCTGGATCAACACAGATTTAATAAAGCGACATACAGTAGTTGGTTAGATGAGACTCTACGGGTCGTCCTTATTTACAATGATTTTCAGCAACATGTGAATCATTACTTAATGTTTGCCATTAATTGTTTACCCAGCAGATGTTATCTACGACTGTTATGTTTTCAGCTGATTTGGTGTATAATATTTTCCATGGTCCACTGGAAATAGTAATAGGTATAAGTGTAGGGACAGCAATTGGTGTTCTTCTATGGTACCTTCCTCATAAAGCTAGTGTAAGTGTTCAGTCATTTTATATATATAATCAACACAATCAGTAAGACTCTGGATCACTAACTAATGTCTTAAGTCAGGGTATGACTCAGGGATGCGTTTTAGTTTTCATATAAGAGAAAAATTAATTTAATGTTCTCCATTCTGCACAAATTAAAGTCGGAGTAAAAAAAAAAGAGAACTTGAATATGATAAAACATTGTGTTATGTCGTGCTTGATGAGGTTCATTGAATTAAGTGCTATCAAGAATTGAATCCAGTAATATAAATAAAAAAGGAGTAAACGGTATGTACGCATGCAGATAGAAACTATGTCAATAATGTTCATCTATTCGGATTAAACTTTCAAATAAATATTATTAACTATGTACATGCTCTGAAAGCTGTGTTTATTGCTGAGTTTGGTCGTGTGATGACTTTCCATAATCCATTTCAATCTTTTCCAGAAAAATCTGTTACTCTATAGATTTATTCTGATTATATCACTTGGTATGTTTTTAACGTTTGGATTCCGGGTGGTGAAGTATCCTGGTGCTGGTGCTCTTGGTACACTGGCCATGTCATTTGTCGCTGGTATGGGTTGGAGAAAACGTGGTTGGGAAACAAATGTAAGTTGACCACAACCCGTTCTGTGCAATTGATTTCTTGAATCTTGAAATCTCCAAAACATGATCGTCGACTTCATTTTTTAATTTTCAAATGATGGTTGCCTACCTTTTGTCACTCAAATTGTCCCCCTCCCGCCTCCGAGACATGTTCCATTAGCCAGCAAAGGTATGTTTGTTTGCAACCGGTTTTTTAATTTTTTGTTTGCCATTGATATTGGAAGCGATGTTTAAGCACGCAATTGCTAATGAACAAATACCAGGCAACGTCCGACAAATTAGGCTTACATAATGCTTAACATTAATAAATTAATATGTTTCAGTATGCTATCAAACCGGTATTAGCTAAATGTTGGCAAGTATTTCAGCCTTTGTTATTTGGTTTAATTGGTAGTGCTGTATCGATAGAAAACCTTCAGAGTGGTGACGTAGGTAAGTGTAATAAATGAATAAAAGTCCAAACGACCACAAATTAACACACTGGATAATACAGACTTTAGTCAGTACCCAAGCCATTGACTGGTAAAATAGTTCAGTCTGAAATTTATTTGTGGTATTTTCTATTGTCCAGGTTTAGGAGTGGCTATGTTAATTGTTAATTTTCTATCTTTAGGAGTAGACAGGTTATTTGTTATTAGTACAAGGCATTTGTCCAGGTTTAAGAGCAGCTATGTTATTTGTTAAATTTCCATGTTAAAGAGTAGACATGTTATATGTTATTATGTTATTATTCTAGGATAAGAAGTAGCCATATCACTTGTTATTTTTATCCAGAGTAGTAGTGTTATTTCTTATGATTCCGGGTTTAGGAGAAGTGGTGTTATTTGTTATTATTACAAGTTTTTCCAGGTTTAATTTTTTATTGTTCAAGGATAAGACGTAGCGATGTTTTTTGTTATTTTTTTAGGTGTAAGAGTAGCAATGTTATTTGTTATGATTCAATGTTTATGAGTAGTCATTTTATAATTTTAAGAATTCTTTTATTATTTTTCCAGTTTTAGGAGTAGCTTTGTAATTTGTTATTTTTAAAGGTTAAGAAGTAGCTACGCTAGTTGTTCATTTTTTCCAAGTGTAAGATTCAATGTTTAGGAGTAGTCTTTTTATAAGTTTAAGAATTCCTTTATTATTTGTTATTTTTCCAGTTTTAGGAGTAGCTTTGTAATTTGTTATTTTTAAAGGTTAAGAATAACAATGTTATTTGTTATTTCTCCATGTTTAGCAGAAGTCATATTATTTGTTACTATTCATGTTAAAGGGTGGTTATGGTATTTCGTATTATTCCAGATTCAGCAGTAGCTATTTTATATATATGTTATAATGTTTATAGTCTAAGGGATAGTTAAGTGCTTTGTTATTATTCTATTTTAAGGAGCACCTATGTTATTGTTATTATTCTCAGTAAGAATTGGTTAAATAATTTGTTATTATTCTGGGTTTAGAAGTAGCTGTGTAATTTGTTATTTTTCCAGGTTAAGCAGTAGCAATGGAATTTGCTGTTATTTCAGGTTTAGCAATAGCTATGTTATTTGTTATTATTCTAGCTTTAGAAGTAGGTATGTTATTTGTTATTTTTCCAGGTTCAGCAGTAGCAATGTAATTTGCTGCTATTTCAGGTTTAGCAATAGCTATGTTATTTGTTATTATTCTAGCTTTAGAAGTAGGTATGTTATTTGTTATTTTTCCAGGTTCAGCAGTAGCAATGTAATTTGCTGCTATTTCAGGTTTAGCAATAGCTATGTTATTTGTTATATTCTAGGCCTAGGGATAGTTAAGAGCTTTGTTATTTGTTATTATTGTTGAATAATTTTGTTTGATACTAGGTTTAGGAGTAGCTATGTAATTTGTAATTAGTCCCAGTAAGGGCTGGTTGAATAATTTTGTTTTATACTAGGTTTAGGAGTAGCTATGTAATTTGTTAATATTCCCAGGTTTAGGAGTAGCTGTGTAATTTGTTATTATTCCCAGGTTAAGAAGTAGCTGTGTAAGTTGTTTTATTCCAGGTTTAGAAGTAGCTGTGTAAGTTGTTTTATTCCAGGTTTAGAAGTAGTTATGTAATTTGTTTTATTCCAGGTTTAGAAGTAGCTGTGTATTTTGTTTTATTCCAGGTTTAGAAGTAGTTATGTAATTTGTTTTATTCCAGGTTTAGAAGTAGCTGTGTAATTTGTTTTATTCCAGGTTTAGAAGTAGCTGTGTGATTTGTTTTATTCCAGGTTTAGAAGTAGGTATGTAATTTGTTTTATTCCAGGTTTAGAAGTAGCTGTGTAATTTGTTTTATTCCAGGTTTAGAAGTAGCTGTGTGATTTGTTTTATTCCAGGTTTAGGAGTAGCTATGTAATTTGTTATTATTCCCAGTAATTGGCTGGTTGAATAATTTTGTTTTATACTAGGTTTAGGAGTAGCTATGTAATTTGTTAATATTCCCAGGTTTAGAAGTAGTTGTATAATTTGTTTTATTCCAGGTTTAGAAGTAGTTATGTAATTTGTTTTATTCCAGGTTTAGAAGTAGCTGTGTAATTTGTTTTATTCCAGGTTAAGAAGTAGCTACGGAATTTGTTTTATTCCAGGTTTAGAAGTAGTTATGTAATTTGTTTTATTCCAGGTTTAGAAGTAGCTGTGTAATTTGTTTTATTCCAGGTTTAGAAGTAGTTATGTAATTTGTTTTAATCCAGGTTTAGAAGTAGCTGTGTAATTTGTTTTATTCCAGGTTAAGAAGTAGCTGTGTAATTTGTTTTATTCCAGGTTTAGAAGTAGCTGTGTAATTTGTTTTATTCCAGGTTAAGAAGTAGCTGTGTAATTTGTTTTATTCCAGGTTTAGAAGTAACAGTGTAATTTGTTTTATTCCAGGTTAAGAAGTAGCTGTGTAATTTGTTTTATTCCAGGTTAAGAAGTAGCTACGGAATTTGTTTTATTCCAGGTTTAGAAGTAGTTATGTAATTTGTTTTATTCCAGGTTTAGAAGTAGCTGTGTAATTTGTTTTATTCCAGGTTTAGAAGTAGTTATGTAATTTGTTTTATTCCAGGTTTAGAAGTAGCCGTGTAATTTGTTTTATTCCAGGTTTAGAAGTAGCTGTGTAATTTGTTTTATTCCAGGTTTAGAAGTAGCTGTGTAATTTGTTTTATTCCAGGTTTAGAAGTAGCTGTGTAATTTGTTTTATTCCAGGTTAAGAAGTAGCTGTGTAATTTGTTTTATTCCAGGTTTAGAAGTAGCTGTGTAATTTGTTTTATTCCAGGTTAAGAAGTAGCTGTGTAATTTGTTTTATTCCAGGTTTAGGAGTAGCTGTGTAATTGTTTTATTCCAGGTGTAGAAGTAGTTATGTAATTTGTTTTATTCCAGGTTTAGAAGTAGTTATGTAA